TGCTTCCGGCCGAGCAGAAGGACGCCTCCACCACCAGCCGGTTTCCTTTCCTTGGTCTTGTTGTTCACTTCCAATCTACTGGCCAATTTCCGACCATTCATCTGGACGTAGTATTCAGCGGAGACCAGACCGAGGGTGACGAGAAAGTGTGTCCAAGTATAAGGAGGTACATCAACCTTCGCCGATATTTTGTAGGCTTGAGCATCTAGAATTACCTCTTTATTTTCTCTGTCGTGATCTGCCGTCGAGGAAATACAAAAACTAAGCAAACACTCCAATGATTGCACTTCATCATTTACATCTTTCGCCACATTTTCCCTCGTAATGGGAAAAAAGAATGACTTTTATACACCTCAACTGTTAGAAAAAAAACAACAACTTACACAGGCAAATATCATCGTTTTCTTTGAAGTAATTCATAATTACATTGACATCGGCCGAAGTATGTTGCAGCCTGAACCAGAACTGAATCGTGATGTCAGATAAAACGGGGACTTCAGGCTTCCACTGCATTACAGACTGGACAGAAGAAGCTCCGGGGTTGAGGAAGCCGACGGCTATAACAATCCCCTCATTCGAAACGGAGGAACCTGCAGGACGGTGAAATAGAATGTTTTAGGTGAGGATTAAGGGGATAAATGAAGAAAGTGAGATTAGAAATTATACGTCGATGACAATATATATAAGCGCAACAACAAGGAACAAAAGTACATAGTGCAAATGATTCAATCAAGAGATGTAAATCGGATAATATAATATATGTATACATGTGTGTGTGTATATATATGTATGTATATATATGTACACACACAAATACACACACACACACACACATATGTGTGCAATTATATATATATATATATATATATATATATATATATATATATATATATATATATATATATATATATATATATATATATATATATATATATATATATATATATATATATATATATATATATATATATATATATATATATATATATTTATATACATCTATATATATATATTTTTACATACATGTGTATATATACATATATATACATATGTGTATATATATACATATGAATATACATGTGTATAAGAATATATGTATATATTTTCTTTCTTTCTTTTTTTAACAGCCATTCATTCCACTGCAGGACATAGGCAGTGTCACCCTTGCCTGATTGGATCAACCGCGGTTCGGCGCGCTAATACTTGTGCCACGGCGATGACTTCGGGACCACCAGGGTCGGAGTCCAATGCTCTAACCACTGGACCATCGCGGCAGTCATGTATATATATATATATATATATATATATATATATATATATATATATATATATATATATATATATATATATATATTTACATATATATATATGTATATATATATATATGTATATATGTATATTTACATATATATATATTGATATTTTTACACACACACACTCACACACACACATACACACACAAACACACACACATACACACACACACACACATACACACACACACACACACACACTGACTGGCTCTATCCGCAGGTACCCAAACAATCCTATTTCAGTATATCCTAAGGACAACACTACAAACCCGACACATGAACGCGACTGGAAGCTGATGTCTGAGACCCACTTCGGTTGGCGAAGGCGTGCTCAAGGGGGGAGAGAAGCTGCGTGATTCTCTCCTCGATGCTGGCGTTCTGATTCATCTCGGAGGCGGAGAGATGAAGTGATGACGTCATGACAAGCATCACCAGCGCCGATGTCTTGCAACAGAGCATCGTTGAGAGAGAAACGGCGTTGGAGAGAGAGAGAGAGAGAGACGGATCTGCGGGAGAAGGAAGGTGAGTATTTTGCAAGCATGTGTGTCTGTGTGTGTGTGTGTGCGTATGGAATTGTAATAGTAGTTGTAATATTCATATAATTATAATAATACTGCATCTGTAGTAATGTTTATAATGTTATCAACCACATATAGTTTTTGTAGAAATAAATACGAAGCAGTGATTTAGCTCTCTTCTTTAGTAATCATTCAAAAACATCAATCTTAACCTCCTTTTATATTTTGTATAAAGTAAATAAATAAATAAATAATAATAATAGTAATGATAAAAAGAATAACAATAATAATAATAATTATTATTATTATTATTATTATAGCAATAATAAAATGAAATAAAAAAATATATATTATTGAAAAAAAAATCCACACATTACTACATTCGTGCCACACTTGGTTAAAGAATGTACCATCTGTTATTTAGATTTTAGTAACTTTTATTCATATATGTTTATTCATTCATTTATTTTTATCCTAAACAAGAATCCTGTAATGTTCTTATTATGATTCTTATTATTGTTCATTATATAATTCCATTTTTCTTCAAGTTATCAGATTCTCTGAGCTACGTACATAATTCAAACACAAGTACGTACTGAAAGATATAGTTTCATTTCAACCTCAAGACAACACGAACTCTTTTTCTTAGCAGGAGGGGGGGGGGGGGGA